GAGAGAGAGAGAGAGAGAGAGAGCTCGTTGACCGCTGCTGCTTTAAACCAAGCCTCCCACACTCCATCGGAGGCCTTGACCCCTGGTCCCCCACCAGACCGGCCGGACAGCTGGCCCGACATGTTTTCTGAGCCCTGGGACACATTCTTGGGTGGAGGCAGCCAAGTAGACACAGAGTGTGTGTGTGTACTCACTAAGGATGGATCAGGGGCTCATGGGCCTCCCTTCTCTGCAGGCATCAGACTTGACATTCCATGCACTGTTTGGTTACCTTTCATCTGATTTCAAACTACTGTACCTGCTTTTGTTTTTTTTTCACTGTTATATTCTAGTAATCATAGTCATTCAAAGGCCTTAATGGTTTGGAAAACCAGATAAAAATGCCCCCTTCAATAGCTAGAGAGGCAGACACAGGCCTGATCCAGTTGAGGCACTTGGTGTGGATGTTCTCCACCCAGAAACATCCAAAATCTGCAAATTTATTCCAAGTGCAAATGTTATCCATCCCATTTGCCTTTGAGACGTTTGTGCTCTTCCTATTGTAAACTATTCCGAGTGCCACCGGGGTCCCTCTTCCCGCCCTGTTTTTAAGAAAGGCCTCCCCCCCCCCAAGACTCCCCCTGTTTTTAAGAAAGGCCTTCCCCCCCCCTCCAAGACTCCTTTGCTTGTTTTAGAGGCATTGCCCTTTAAATGGCTTCGAGCGGTGTCTGTGGGCGCTGCTCTGAGTGGGGAGAGGGGGTGGCGGCAGAGGCTGGTTCAGACCTCGGGCCTGCTCCTGCCAAAGCCGAGGCCGGGAGGACCCCCCCCTCTCCCCGGGGCTCGCGCGGCGGCGGCGGCCTCACCTGTCTGCCCCGTCTGGGCCTTGAGGTCGCTCAGCGCCCGCTGGATGTCCTCCGCCTTGGTGAGGTCCAGCTCCAGGAGCCGCAGCTGAGGCGAGCAGCTCCGCCGGAGCTCCTCCGCCCCGGGGCTGCTCAGGTCCAGCACCGTGGCGTAGACGGTCAGCCCCAGCTGGTCCAGGTGACGGGCCGTCGCCTTCCCGAAGCCGGAGTCGCAGCCTGGAAGGGCAACAACAGAAGGGGGCCGGTCGGCGGCGGTGGGGGCCGGGGCCCCGCTCCGCCTCGGCTGCCGGGCTCTGGCATGCGAGTAAGAAGAGATTGGTCTTCGCTAGATGAAGCCGGGGAAGCGAGGAGGGCGAAGGCAGGCACCGGAGAGGAGCGCTCTGGGCGGCGACATCCCGGGAGGTGCCTCGGAGGAGCCCCGCGAGCGGTTTCTGGGCTCCGGGGGCCCGAGGGTCCTCCTCCGACGGCTCTCCGCGCCGGCCGGCCAGGCCGAGGCGGCTTCCTTCCCAGACCTTCAGGCCGCG